TCTTTTTTTAGATGGTTCTCATGAGCAAGCCTTTGGACAGACCGCAAGCTTCTTGTACAATTTCAAAGTGACAGGAAAAACTGTCCCCATAGAAGGACTAGGGACTGACTGAGCTTCCTCTCATTACCATACGATGATTCTAGATCTTTAACTCTTTGTTAGGATATACTGCAGTCAACTCTAGTTTACAACTGATAATGAGATCTGCCAGCATTATTCAGACAGGGTTTATTATGGCAAACACAGGGGCGTAACTAGAAATCACAGGGCCCCATAGCAAAATTTGTATGGCACCCCGCCCACCAATAAAATAAAAAAAGTGACCTACCTCCAGAACACATTCCCATGCCTGCGCTGTCTCCCCTTCAGCGCTGCTCATGCTGGCTCTGACGGCAGAGCCGAAGAGCAGATCATTCCACTGCTCACTGCTGCAGAGCCCACCATAGACCATGCTGGTCGCTATGGAGATAGTTACGCCACTTGGCAAACATTAACACCTCCCTCTTCCTTCCTTGCATTCCAGGGTAAAACTCAGTTTAGAGATAGCAAGGAATGTAAGAAGCAATTTTTGCTGCACATATCAAAGTTATGTAATTTGAATGAGAACATATAACAAACATAATGTAGGTATTATCCCAATTTGGCTGTTAAAGTGGAAATACACTTTAAGGGCCTGTTCACACGAAGTCCGTTTTGTGTGCTGACCGGCTCCGTACGCTGCTGCACTCAAAATGCATCCCAATGTATCCCTATGTGTTTTATGGGCTCCAGTTCTCACGTGCGCAGTTATTATGATGTTATCAACGTTGACAAAAAATTAACTGTCAGCATCCGGACCGAAAACGCATTAAAAACGCATCATAAAAGCGTCAAAAACGCACTGCATCAGCAGCTCCACGTCTGCTGATCAGCACCTGATCAGGACCTGATCTCATGTGAACAGGCCCTGAGGCTCAAGACTGGAAATGCTTTTCTTGCAGCCTCTAAAAAAAAATCTGATTGCTAAGAACCTTTGATCTGTATGCTGTTTATTTGGAATACTATTAGGGAGAGGCTGTGCCTTGTGTAATGCATTTAGTGTATAATTAATAAATCCGAGAAGATTTTCAATAAACTCTATTATCCATGGTATAAGTTACAACATCAATGAGCTTGTTTTATAATTACTAATCAGTTGATTTCTTCCTGTCAGAGGTCCAGAATTAGCAATTAGTTTATATCAAATAGATTAAATCAGTGTTCAGTTTAGATTAAGACAAAGGCTGACGTGCCATGGTGGCATGCCGTGTGCTCTGACTGCGAAGAGGGGAGTATGGAGGATGTATTTAGAATTAAGACAACCCAGAAGATTCTGGGCAAAGATAACAGCCATTAGGCTCAATTCACAAAGCTAACAAACTGGGATAAGAACACCTATTTTCAAAAAGTGACATTTATTTTCATCCCAGCCCAATGTGATTTGAAAATGACAGTCACATGACTAAAAGTGCCTTAGGCTTGTGTAAAGCTTTGTGAGTTAAGCCTTTTGTGGGGGGGTTTTAGCAGTTGTGTTGTTTTCCTGCAGGATAGTGATAACACTGATTGTTTTGTGTCCTGAGAGACAGTACAGGAATGAACGAAATAAGAATAGGAGGTTTTCATAGACATAGATATTCTTTTAATTCTGTTAACAGGATATTATAGGATACATGTCATTGACTTATTTTCTGTGCATTCATCAAGCCTAGTGGTTGGCAGTCATCCGGTTGGAAGAAGGGGGGTGGGTAGCTACTTGGGGCATCACCAGACATCTGGTAACAGACTGCAGAACAATGTTCTTTGGCTCCTCTACCTGGTGCATTCCTACTGCACTTGTTCTCTCTATTGCCATTTGGCTTTGCCTGCTTAGTTTTCATTGAATCCATATTCTCTTTCATTACCCACATTTGTACACCATTATTCCCAGTCTTCCTTTTTTATTGCAGGGGTTTGGCTGAGAAGGAGATTGGCAGTGGGCAACAGTGTACATGTTGATTGGGCCAGCTCCCTTTTTTAAGGCAATATGCAGGTCTGTCCCTATAATGAGGCAGTCTGTGGTGGTAGCCATAGGTGACATCTCATTGGGGGGGTGGCAAGTGTGGAGGGTCCGGTGGGGGGGGGAGGGGTGCAGCCACAGCATCCCAGGTTTGCTAAAAGCTCCTGGCAACCAGTGATGTAATTGAGCTGGGTAGGATGCTGGACATATCCACTGGACCCAGAGGTAACAACGCCCCCATCCTACCCCAGAATGACCTTTTACTGACACTATAACGACCATTCACTGAGAGCAGCGGAACAACCATTCACTGAGAGCACCCCACCCCCCCAATACCTTGAAGACATAGGTTAGATACCTCTGCATTGCTTAGTCTTTTGTTTTTCAAGCATTGAACATAAATATTCTCTCCATAAACCTCTGGCACTCTTGTAGCTATTTAGTTTTAGGCATACAAGTTTATACCCATATGTGCTCACAGACACATACAGGTGAAACTCGAATAATTAGAATATCGTGCAAAAGTGAAACTAATATATGAGATAGACTCATTACATGCAAAGCAAGATAGTTCAAGCCGTGATTTGTCATAATTGTGATGATTATGGCTTACAGCTCATGAAATCCCCAAATCCACAATCTCAGAAAATTAGAATATTACATGCAATCAATAAAACAAGGATTGTACATAGAACAATATCGGACCTCTGAAAAGTATAAGCATGCATATGTACTCAGTACTTGGTTTGAGGTGAAGCCTGGCCAGAATGTCATTGTTCTGAGCTCCCTCAGAGAACAATAGGAGATAACGAGGGATGGTTCTGATAGTCTTTCCATAACCAGGTCACACAGCATAACGCACTCAAAACATAACTCAACACCAATACACATTTAACTTATAAACTGATCACCATGTCGTCACACTCTGCCCACATACAAGCCATATGCGCATATACATTCCTGCAAACCCTGCATCCCTTTTCCTACACTGTTCATCTCTGCACTCCCTGCATCCCTCTTCCTACACTGTTCACCTCTGCACCCCCTGCATACCTTTTCCTACACTGCTCATCTCTGCCCTGTCTTCCTACACTGCCCACCTCTGCATCCCTCTTCCTACACTGCTCACATATGCACCCACTGCATCACTCTTCCTACACTGTTCACCTCTGCACCCCCTGCATCCGTCTTCCTACACTGCTCATCTCTGCCCCCCCCTGCATCCATCTTCCTACACTGCCCACCTCTGCATCCCTCTTCCTACACTGCTCACATATGCACCCACTGCATCGCTCTTCCTACACTATTCACCTCGGCAACCCCTGCATCCCTCTTCCTGCACTGCTCATCTCTGCCCCCTTGCATCCGTCTTCCTACACTGCCCACCTCTGCATACCTCTTCCTACACTGCTCACATATGCACCCCCTGCATCCTTCTTCCTACACTGTTCACATCTGTACTCCCTGCATCTCTCTTCCTACACTACCCACCTCGGTACCCCCTGCAACCCTTTTCTAATGCTTCTCACATCTGCACCCCCCTTCCTACACTGCTCACCTCTGCAACCCTGCCAGGGGGTGCAGAGGTGAGCACTGTAGGATGAGTGATGCAGAGGGTACAGAAGTTAACAGTGTTGGAAGACGGTTTGATGTCTGCCACCCTCTTCCAACACTGTTAACTTGCACACCTTCTACATCCCTCATATTACACTACTGACCCTTTCCCCTACTCTCTGTTAAGCTCTCACACCCTGCAGCTTACCTCATGGTAGGACTCCCGCTTCTGACACCATGGGCTGTGGGCGGTGGAGGGGGCGGAGTCAAATGTGCTGAAAATCTCTGGTCCTTACTGCTGCTGATCAGCATTACCCATGACTCTGATAGCAATGCCCAGTGGAGAGTCCCACCCACTAGCCATGGTAACAAGCTAATTGACAGGCTCCTGTCCTTCTATGCAGACGATCCAGGAAGGAGGGGAGGAGCCTGCCAATCAACTAGTTACCATGGCAAGTGTGTGAGACTTCACTTCAGGCAGCCCATGCTGGGTTTGTCCCCCCCCCCCCCCCCCCCCCCCCCCCCCTTAT